TATAGACTAGAAATGAACTCCATCAAGTCATAAAATAGTTAATCTAAATTATTAAAATTTTACTGTTTGAATATAACTCTTGGTTTTCAAGCCATTTACTTCTATTGAGCACATTGCTAGATAAGATAGGATATATATTATATATGCAGTTTGTGGTATACTGTGGGTTAGAGCAGAAACTTGAGATCTGTTAAGATAGTTAAACCAGCATATGGGTATTTTAAATCTGATCAAAATGCTTGTTTCCTTTCAACTGTATAAAAGGAGATTGTCCAAAAACTATAAAAGACATTTAACTCAGATGTAAAATAAAAGGAAAGGAACATAATCACTTTTTCAGGATAGCTATATATTAAATATATAATTCTGTGAAGGTCTATTAATACTTGTGGATAATTTTAACCAAACGAATGTATAGGTTAAAAACCTGCATTTTGGCTGGGGAGATAGCTCAACAATCTAAGCACCTACTTGGCAAATGTGAGGGCCTGGGTTTGATCCTGGTGCCTCATGCTGTGCCAGCCACCAAAACCAGGCATGGTAGCACACACTTGTAATCCCAGTGCTAGGGAGGCTGAGACAGGAGGATCACTGTGAGTCCAAGCTATGTAGCAAGACCTGTACCAAATAAATACATAAATGATTTTTTAAAAACCTGCAGTTTTTTTCTGCTACTTTTATTAAACATTTAGTCTTTGTCTGTTGACTGCTACAGTTTAACGCTTTGTGTGTATGTATGTGTAATTGGCTGCTTTCTATAATCCTTAAACGGTATTATGTTGTAAGCAAGGGAATGCTTATCAGAGCTGAGGGTAGGACGCAGTGATAGAATACTTGGCCTAGCATGGTAATCAGCATATAAACTTTAATACTAGCTTATGGTGACTTGGATGTTCAGTTTTAAAAGATGGATTGCCAAAGACCAAGAGCTAGATTTCATTAAAGTGTAAGCAGGTTATTCCCATTCTGTTAATGCTGTTACTAAGGTCAGTAGTATTCCGTGATTTAGATTCTAAACTTCTTCCATTTGGTAATTTGAGGGACAGAGAAAAATTAGGTATAAGGAAAATAGAAGGTAACAAATTTTTGATCATAATAGTTCACTATTTTGTATTTTTTAGCCTAGATCATTTATATGTATGCTGAACATATCTTTACTATTCAGCTACTAAGAACTACAAGATTAAAGCTTTTGGCAAGGTAGATGGTTAATGTTTAGTTGCAGTTATATTAAATAGAATTTTTTCTGTTAAAGCATTGGAATTTTTTTAAAAAGCTGCTTGTTTTCCCCATTTGCAGGTTCTGTACAGAGTAATGAGATGTGTGACGGCTGCAAACCAAGTATTTTTTTCTGAGGCTGTGTTGACAGCTGCTAATGAGTGTGTTGGTGTTTTGCTCGGCAGCTTGGACCCTAGCATGACTATACATTGTGACATGGTCATTACATATGGATTAGACCAACTGGAGAATTGCCAGACTTGTGGTACCGATTATATCATCTCAGTCTTGAATTTACTCACATTGGTATGTGAATTACTACTTTTTTTAGTGCATTGATCAACCTTATTTTTATAAATCTAGTATGCTTTTTTCTAATATTTTTATTTTTAGTGTTTAATAGCTGAGTGTAGCTTTATTCTTTTTTTTTTTTAATGAAACATTATCCTTCACATTAGAGTCCCTGATAAATACTTCATTAGAGAAAGTATTTGATAGGTATTTGCAAATACTGTTACATTTTATTTACCATGAAAACTTCTTTTGCAGTTTTCTCTTAATTGTTTAAGTAGCCATACCTTTACTATGCACATTCTAAAAGTACATGAAAAATAGAATAATATAGTGAATCTCTGCATACTTGGTACTCAGCTTCTGCAATTAGAAACATGGCCCATCTGGTTGCCTCTGCCCACATTCTGCCTCCACTGTTTCTTCCTCTCCAGCTACATGATTTTAAAGAAAATTCTACATGATTTTCTGCTGAATGGTTCTGCCAGTTAAACCTCTCTGTGCTGGTGATGTTTTTTTTTTTTTTGTTTTTTGTTTTGTTTTTTTAAAGAGACCATGTTTAAATACAACATATATGTATCCTATTTAGATTTTAAATTCCCAATGATAAAATATAGCCGAGGGCTGCAGAGGTAGTTCAGCGGGCTAAGCGCCTTCTTAGAAAGTTCAGGGATCCAGTTTTGATCCCTGATACTGCATGTCGTGCTGGTCCTGTGCTGAGCTGGCCACTGAAACTGGGCATGGTAGCGCACACTGAGAAGGCTGAAACAGGAGGATCACTATGAGTCCGAGCTACATAGTGAGACCCTCTAACAGCTACGGTTAAAAAAAAAAAAAAAAGTGTAGCAGAGATATAATTGAGACTTTTTAAAGAGTTTATTTATTATTATATAAAGTTCATAGTTTAGGATTCACTATTGTGTATTTTATGAGTGTTATCAAATACATAATGACAAATACTATTATATTATACAAGATAGTTTCACTGCTTTTAAGACTCTTGTTACATCTATTCAACCTTCTTACGTTCCTCCCTTCAAACCTCTCAGGTATTTTGAGACAGGAGGTCTTTTTGTTTAATTTAGTTTGTCCTTGAATTTATTAAGTAGTCTAACCTGGCCTCAAACTCAGGGCAGTCTTCCTTCCTCAGACTCCCAAGTATGTTGGGGTTACAGAAAGACCACCATGCTTCCCTTTAAACTTCTATCTACCTAATTTTGCCTTTGTAGAATGTTATATAGTTGAGTAAATATAGTATGTGGCCTTTGGAGATCTACTTTATTTTACTTGACAATATGCATTTAATATATATTAACTTTTCCATGTTGTTTTTTTGACTTGATAAACTCATTTTTAAATTTGCTTTTAGATTGTTGAACAGATCAATACAAAGCTGCCATCATCATTTGTAGAAAAGCTGTTTATCCCATCATCTAAACTACTTTTTTTACGTTATCATAAAGAAAAAGAGGTAAGCGATAACACTGATAATGATTGTTAACTTCTGTCAGTGAAGAATTAGACTTAATGTTGCTTGGGTAGGCCACATAAATGAAACTGAGTGAAATGATACTTGTCTTAGAATGTGATGGAATTAATATTTGTAGCTTTATGAATGATATGCCTCATACTCATTAGAATTATCTTTCTTTTTGTTTGTTTTGTCTGTTTGTTTGGCAGAACCTGGGGTTGAATTCAGGCCCTTGTGCTTGCCAGGGAAGCACTTATTCTACTGAGCCATCTTCCCAGCCCCTATCATTTGGTTTTGTTCTATTTGTTTTAGTAAATTTACATACAGGAAAAGAGGCACATATATTTATGAAGTTAAAAATTTAGAAGTACTGTCTAAGTCTATAGTAAAAATTAACTTCTCAAGTATCCTCTACTCAAACTGAGTGTAGAAATTCCAAGTAC